ATGTGTTTCATCTTTGGCAGCCTATAAAAGCCTCAGTGTGACAGTGACGCAGCAACGCGCTGCAAGTCTCAAATCAGTCACCTTTCTGTTACAAGTGGCGCCTCAAATCACAGTTTGTGGGCGGTGAGTCAGACCATTACCACAGACACCAGTAACACCAGGGAGGAGAGGAGCAGCTGAGGAAGGAAAGGGATAAAACTGAGCTAAAGAGTAAGAACAGAGCGATAAAGTGAAGTAGGAAAAGAAAGGGAAGCAGCCTACTGTATGTATTCAGCAGATAATATTCCTACAACTTTGTGTCTGAGCTCAGAGAAAGAGTTGCTGTTAATCTTCTACTTAACAACCTGTGCACGACACACACACACTTGCACGCACACACCCACAAAGTGTAATAAGCAGGCTAAGAGAAGTGAAGATAATCCTCTCTGCATCACCTCAGTATTACCGCTGACAGACGCCGCCTCTGTGTGTGTACAGTACGTGTGTGACAGCGTGTGTGTCTGTGAGGGTTGTGTGTAATCCCAGTGACTAATACTGCTGTCAACCTGCAGGCATTACCAGTCCCACATCAGGAAACTTATGGCACAGGAGGAGATTGTGTTTAAAGGTCAAAGCTGCGACATTTTGGTGTTTTCATGAATATCCAGATTTTTTTGTGCTCAGCACAGACGAGAGCCGTGTTTGTGAACTGGGGATTGAAGCAGGAACTCTTAAGCTACAACCCAACCTGGATGGCATTTATTTAGGATTCCCTGTTGGGTGAGAAATTAATACTGGTTTTAACATATCCTTTTTTCTGGTTATTCTCTTGCTTTTCTCAACCGCCCTCTTACACTGTATGCATGCGTTATTCTTTTATTTACTGTGCATTTAGTTTGTTCATTTAAATACGTGATTGTGTGTAAGATTGTGTGTAACTTTTGAAAGAGGAAATGACACAATCTTCCTTTTACAATGAACATTTGAATTAATTAACAAAAAAACACATATCTCATTTCAATACACTGTGAGGGTTTTACTGTTACAGCCTCACTGTGTCTGGTATGACAAGTAGCCTGCGGTGGCTAAAGTTACCTAACGATAGATATTTCTGTGTAACTTCTTCTCTACTAGTGCAACTTTTAACACATTTCACATTTGTCACGTCACCTGATGATGATGTCTTTTAAGCAACTGACCCTGGAAATAACCATTATCCTGTAATTGGACCTTGAGGCCTCTGTTCAGCAAAAGCTACATAGTCTCAATTTAAATTGAAACTCCACCAATATGTGTCTCAAAATGAAAAATATATGGGCATGTGGAGTTAGAAAGAAGTGTAGCCCACTGCTCATCTCTGCTTGAGGCTAGTTGCTCATGGCTACATTAGCTGCTAGTAGCATAACAAAAAATCTGAGAACTATACATTTTTTGGTTTCATGGTGGAGTCCCATATTTTTGCATTCATTTGTCAGAAAACTGTTAGTTCTCCATTAATGTCAATGAAGAACTTGTTGTTTGCATAAAGTAATGTTTGTGTTCCATCGTAAGCAGCCTAACAGCCAGACCGCAGTCTGCAGAGCCACAGACTTCATAATTCATATATCATGGTTTGCAGCATGATGTATAGGTTATACTTTTAATAACACTTTTAAGTATTTTCTATTTGTGTTTTAAAGTTTGCTTCCTTTCCTTTCCATTTCCTGTGTTTGGTGCACTTTGTTTGCTAAATAAATCAAATTAAAATCATCAACATTATTTGTGGGTAAAGTAACAAATACTGTGATCTCCAAATTGTGGGTTCAGAGCTAGTGTGCAAAACTTAAAACTTTCATGTGAATCAGTGAGTGGAAATTTGGACAGCGACTTACTACAGTTTGAGAAAATGATTCACTTTTCACTCATACCTCTTTGCCCTCATGACATTTTAAATCTTCTGACTGTAAATTCATCACATAAACTCGCAAATGGCCCTGAATATTAGCAATAGGCAAGGCCACCTGTAAAGATAAGGAGATGATTTCAAAGAAAAAGTAATTTTTTGATTTTTGACATTTTTATTGATTATTATTTGGTAAGAAAGTCTAAAATTCTCAAAATTCCTCCTGATTCACCACAAGTGAGATTTTTTTACCAAATGATATCTCACAAAAAATCCTACAGATGGGGATTTTGGGAGGAAAATTCAGTCAAACAGCCTGGTCTGGCCAAAGCCATATGAATTTGGGGACAAACACATTTTGGAGCCATAGGTTTGATATACAAAATTGGCTTAAAATAGCCTGAAACGTGATGAGGGACGTCGGCAGCACTAACGCAGCATGAAGACTTTTCACAGACAAACACGCTCCATCTGCTGTACTTCAAATAAACACAAATCCATATCTGCTGCATCAGCTTAAAAGAACTGTGTCGCTGCCTAAGCATGCACACACACACACACACACACACACACACACACACCGTGAGCAGTCCAGTTCTGTGCCGAGCTGTGTTGTGTTTGGCTACAGTGGGTACCGTATTTAATATAAATAACAGGAGGAGACCTGCAAACACACAGTGAGAGAGACACTTTTCCTCTCCTGGTGGAGGTCATTATAAGTTCCTCTTTTGTTGGCAGGAAGTGTGTGTGTGAAACAGAGGGAGCACTGCTGGTCACCACATGCTATCGCCACGGGAACGGGACAAACATGGACCTCAGATGGACACACACGCACACACACACACGCATAGTGCTGACCAAAGCCCAGCGTGGACAGAAGGTTTGATACAGAGTTCATTCAATAGTCACTAATGAGAGTCACGACACAGACACACACCCGCATACACACACACACAAAGATCTTAGACTAACCGATCCTTTTTGAGGGCCAGCATGTGAGCAAAACCCCTAAATGCTGAAGTACACCTAGTTTCTTAAATGCTGAGCAGGAAAACCTTGAACGTTAAAACCGAGCTACAGCGCAGTCGGCTCTTACTGAGGCCAGCTGGTCCACCTCTGATACCTACTGTGTGTTCTCCCTGTTTGATCCCCAATATAACACCAAACAATGCCAAAAACAGGACTGGACCAAGCCAAACCAACACACCATCAAACCATTTGACACTTAAGACAGTTTTCTTTTACTTTTTAAATAAACAATCACCAAAAATCTGTAAAAAGTAAGTAAAAAGTAGGCTTAAAAGGTGGCTTTGAAAAGTTTGCTCCCTTGAAGAGGAGGGCAGCTTCCAATGGGGATCCAGAGGCGTGGCAAGAAAAGTGTCCATAGAAACATTTATTTTCAATTCATTTCAGTAGCTAAGTCCACTTCTCCACTCTGTTTAGTATGTTCTTTATCAATACAGGTCAATAGCTGAGACACTGGTTACACTACAAGAGTGGATGGAGTGGTTTACACATTTTGATCACCTTTCTTTTAACACATATTTTAGCTGTGTCTTTCCTTCTCATACAGTTGTAACTGCTGTCAATCCAAGTTAACTACGGTGGGCAACCTCTGTGAGGGAGCAAACTACAAATCTTTTTAAATCAAATTATAATCAAAAAACATTTCATCTGCTACAACATACATATCTGCTCTGCAAATCACATGTCCTGTGAGAAAGGAATCTGAACTATAGAACAGAGAATTATATATATATTTTTTTGGTTTCATGGTGGCACCCCCTATTTTTGCATTAATTCGTCAGAATACTGTTAGTTCTCCATTTCTGTAGATGAAGAACTTGTTTCCATACAACCAATCAAATCTTTGCATAAAGTAATGTTGGTTCCATCGTAAGCAGACTGACTAACAGACACACCGCAGGCTGCAGAGCCACAGACTTCATAATTCCTATATCATGGTTTGCAGCATGATGTATAGGTTATATCCCTACGCTGCTTCCATAAGCTTCCAATACATTTGCATACTGTAGCTGCTGGAGAACTTCATTATGTTCTGTCAGTGTCTTCCATGTCTTAATGTATTTTGCCCTTCAATTTCTCCTCCGCCTTTTTAAAGGCCTGTGTATCACACTCTGGTCCTACCTTCCTGGACCACCTCTCTGACTGAATAATACATGGCTGACACACACACACACACACACACACACACACACACACACACACACACGTACAACCTCTCCCAGTAAACACATTTATGAGGTGAATCAGGGGACCAGGGGACCTGATGCTGCGTAACTGTGTGTGAGTGTGTGTGTGTGTGTGTGTGTGTAAGTGTTATACTCTGGTCCCCCACCATGACAGCATCCCATTAGCTGAGCCAATCAGCAGTGATAACCTGGTTTCCTAGGTTACGGCCTTCTTAGTCACTCCCAGTAGACAAACATTGAGGATGGTGTTGGTTGTGAAACCTCACTCTGTCTCTCAGTGTGCAGACAAATAGTGAATTTCCCAAACTTCAGTATACAAAAGGATGAAACAAAATGCCTTGTTTTCATTCATTACTATTAAGCAATTATTCTGTAGGGTCAACCACAGCGTAACACAATAATAAGAGTACCAACAGCTAACAATAACCTGGTGTATCATGGATAGTCTTTGGGCTTTCCTGTAACTGTATGTGTCAGCAATACACTGATTGCTGTGTCTACAATACACTGCCAGATTTCAAGAAAGACAAGAAGAGGAAGAAGTGGAGGCAGGTCCAGAACATCATCATTAAACAATAGCTTAACACCGGGTTGAAAAGCAGTGTTTCACTGCTCTCTCTGGTTAAAAGTTTCAAGCCTGTTTTGGTTTTTGCCAGCCATCAGTGAAGCTGGCTTTGGTCAGAAGTGTGCTCTTTTATACCTGTAACCACACCCAACAATGATGTCACAGGGTCCTGATGTATACCAGTACATCATGGCAGCAAGGTAAGAAGTGAAAACACTGGAGAGCAGCAGAAACAAGATTTTCTGGGGGTGTTAATTTACTCTTTAATTACACAAATCTGTTCTGTTCTGTTCCAATTACATCCAGATTGTTATGCATTAGTCTGTACATGAGATGCACTGTGTTTATCTGCTTTACTCACCCTCAGGTCTGTACTGTGCTACTATGGTAACGGTCTGTCCTGCATTCTTCAGAGCAGCGGCTGCCTGCTCATGTGTTGCAGTGGTCAGGTCCACCCCGTTCACCTACACACAGACACACACACACACACACACAGAATTAGAGCTCATGCCTTGGATCAATATTAATGACTGTATAGTGAGAAGAACACATCATCTTAGTGGGTCAATAAGTCACAGGTGACCAGCCACATGTATGTGTGCATGTGTAGTATGTGTGTACTTTGTGAAGGCTTGTTTAATACATAAAATCATTTCCCGCAGTATTTGATCGTAATATGGTCACAGCCAGTCTGAAGGGATTATCAGTGCCTCTACAGTCTGATGACTAAATCCTGTTTGGATTCTGTCTGTAGAAAATTAAAGCCATATTTCACTTTAGTGGAACACAAAATACAGCTTGAACACACACACACACACACACACACACACACACACACACACACACACACCCCTATCAGCCATAAGTGGCAAGTGACTCACTGGTGATACGCAAAGAAAACGATACCAGTGAAATCTCCTTAAATTCAGTATGAATCAGATCAAGTTCAAACTATTCAGCGTCAGAAAATATTATTACTGCTTTGTTTATTCTGACTTGTATGACTTCACATCAACAAAGTCAAGAGAAATACGCAGAAAGTCGAGGTTCCGGCAATAAACTGACAGGACTCCCTTGATAAGCCTATAAAACCTATAATATATAATATATAATCTATAAATAATATAATAATAGTAATGGTGACAATGCTTGTGTTATACTGTATATCTGTGTGTAATGTTTGTAATAGGTCTTAGCTCATACCGACAGGATGCGGTCTCCCTTTCGTAGCTCTCCGCAGAGATCAGCTGGACCTCCAGCAAGAATGAAGGAGATGAAGATCCCTTCTCCATCCTCCCCGCCAACAATGTTAAAACCAAGACCCGTAGACCCCCGCTGGAGCACCACCCGCCTGGGTTCCCTGGAGGAAACACAAATTAAACACACACACACACTGTGTAAGGGTAAAAGATGATGGGATCCAACCTTTTAGCACAAATTAGTAAATAATTATATTTTCTGTATCGGTTTTGTAGGCATCTTAATGTATGATGACATTTGATGAATCAGTTACGACTTAGATAGCAACAAGTTTAGCTGATGGTTAGTTGTAATGCTTATCTAACCACAGACTAAGAAGCAGTGAATCAATGAGAAGAGATAACTTGAGGAAGACAGACATTATTCAATATGTTATACTTAACATAACATGACTTCAAAAGAAAACATTACAATATTGCAGCTGTGTTTAGCAGTTACTGTAGAGTATATATGTGGTTTCTGAATGTTCAATATATAATATCTGTACAGTTTTTGTGGTGTTAAATGGAACTAAATGGTACAATGGGACAAAATGATTTTTAAAATAGGATCATTCACCCTGATGACCAGCAGATGTCAGTATTGCACCACTGTCCGTTTTATTGCACCACTACAGTTAGTTACTCTATCCTAAACACACACATCTATACATATAGTACATGGTTCAGTTCTTTAATAAATCAGCAGGACTTTACTGTCTTTACACTGTGGGCATAAACAAGAGCATGTGGAGGGCATCCAAGTCAACACAGGCAACACATATTTAAGATAGAAATGAAAGCAGGTCCATCGTATTGCGATCAAAATACTGGATCATCATGTCATCCTCACTTAAAATATTGTATGAAAACATCTGTGCAGAGACAGAATAAGTGTTGAATAACTGTTAATGAGGTTTATAAAAAAAAAAATCCAGCCAATCCACACACTGTATATGAGAAATTAGGATTTGATCCCTCTTTAGCCTTTCTGACTGAAATGGTTCTAACGAGAAATGCATTGGTCCAAAACTGCTGGATCAGTTTCCAGACGTGACAGATCCACATTAAACACTGTTTATTTGTTCAGTGTCATAAAGATTCTGTGTTTCAGTTACATTCTTACAGTGAGCTGGCGACAACATCTTTAATGTCACAATGATAATTTGCCTGCAGTGTGGAACAGTATACAGATATTAAATTTGGGAATATGAGAGCACTGGTAATTGTTTTCGATAGACAGCCTGAAAAAGGTAAATCTATCGTTCTACAGCACAAATAAATAAAAGATCTCCCAACTGAAATCACCTGATTGGGGAGAAAGCAGATGTTCTTCAAATTGTGCACATGGAGTAGATATTTATTAAAACCCATAATCCTCTATTTGCATGAGAAACTAATCAGAGAGAGAAAAGAGAAAGAGATGAAAGAGAGAATAAAGGAGAGATACAAACACAGAGGGAAAAAAGAAGGGCAGACGTCAGAATGACCATTCTGCAGTCAGTCTGAGGCTTATCAGATTTATTGTAATCAAAGTGCTCTGATTGGCCCAAAGGGCTATGACGAAATGAGTCATATTCTGGTAACCACGGTGACGCCAGTTGAGTGACGAGGGCCGTGATAGGCTGTAATCCGTCCATTAAAATGGATTAAAGACAGTAGAGCAGCACTGAGAGTGTATCTACAAAATTTGCACTGCCATCTGCCTTTTACTGCCACTCTGTCTCTCTCACACACCCACACACACACCCACACACACACACACACACACACACACACACACACAGCAGCAGCAGCAGGGGGAGCAGGCGGGGACACAGGTCACTCAGTGTATTTTGGGCTCTCTAGGACTCTGTTTCCCAATCTGGTGTTGTGGACCTCTTTGAGGGCCACTTAAGACCTCAGAGGGGGACATGACACAAGCAATAAAGGTTAAGAGACAGAAGAAGAGAAAATTGACACTTGACCCTGTAACCAGCTTAATCATTCTTTTTTTTTTAGCTAGTAAAGCTCATGAGCAGCGATAGAAATTCATCAGTGTTGATGAATTTGTGTGACATGCATGACATTTAAACAAAAATAAGGATGTGCTACTGACGCCTGAAAGGTGTCAGACTGTCACAAATAGCTGCTGTTACTGCATTAGAGTTGGATGTGCAGCAGATGATACAATTAAATATTGTCAAATGTATTAAGCAATGGGAAAACTACCTCAGTTCCAATTGATGAAAATACATTTCCTGTTTAGTATTAACATGGAAACAATAAATACAACACTAACTTCTTAAACCCAGATTAGAATAAAAATTATATTTTCAAAACCTCACTGCAATGTCACATATTCATTTTCTATCTGCTTCTTCCTAGAACTACAGTATTTGATGTTTGATATTGAGATTGATATTCTTATTAAACCCTGAAAAGTCTAAATGGAAACAATATATATATATATATATATATATAGATATGCAAAGTTTTCCTACACCTGAATTCCCTATATATATGTAGTTCAACCGTGATGAACTTTGGAAACCTTGAATGGAAAAATAATTACACAATGAATATGTTTGGTCGTGTTTTATTTGGACACACGGGTCAGTTAGGGTTAGGGTGGGTGTATGAGGTCTCACCTGGTGATGTCGTCGTCTCCAGTCATGGCCCTGGGCAGCGGTGAGTATCTGGGCGTGGTCAATGGGGCGGGGCTTACAGACTGGCTGCCGCTCATGTAGGGGCTTATATGGTTGTCTTGATGTGGGGAGTACGCTGGAGGAGCACACACACATACATTTATATTCTTATTTTACCATACTGCCATACAAATATCACTTAATTGCATCTTTTTAAAGCAAGAATGTGTATTTTCATGTACTTTTAGTTTAGTCATTTCAAACATCGTCGGCTCTGATTAAATAGTATATTTCATATATCATCATATATCAATCCTGGCTCATTTTTAGACAGTCAGTCCAAGCTGTAGATGCACCGTATATAATGAGAGATATGTTGAGAGATGGTGGTGTGATATATGCTGTTTGGTAACGTGTTATATTCAAAGCGGTGAAAAATGACGTTGTTTGAGAACATGCTGATTTGGAGAGGTGACAAGTGGCTGTAATCCAGTGGACCAAATTCACCCAGACTGATCATAAGACCCTTATACAACACATTTAAACTGTCTGGTTGATGTCATCGTTATATCTTTTAAACCATAACATATAATGTTTCTAACCAACTTGAACTGGTTTGAAAACACTGGAAGTATTTGGCGTTATCACAATGGACACTATTCCAGCCATATCTAACATGTTGATAAGATATTGCATTGAGCTCTTTAACTGTTATGGAGTTCACAGCATCCTCAATTCAGACTCTTTCAGGCATGTTTATAGTGTCAACCAGTAGTACAAATGTGTTGTCTAATTTGAGTGGAGTAATAAATCTTTATGGCTCTACATACCATGAGCGCAAACACAAAACAGTCCCGTGTGGTATTCAGCCCTGATGTGGGAATCTAGGTCTATTAACCACTTCACTGAAAGCAATAAATGATTTCACAGGAAATTTGACACCTTTTACCCTCAGTGATATGCTCATGATGACTTGCAACAATATTATTCTGAGACAGTTTGGGGTGAGTTTTATGATCCATCTACATCGGATTCAACCACGACTGAGCTGCTCCGCATCCGCGTCCGTCTTTACTTGTACCTCATATCTCTCTTTCCTGGTCTTGCGTCTTTTTGTAGCACTTCTGTATTTATATAGTGAAGCTCAGGAGTATGAAATGTGTTTGTTTCTATCTATCAGCTAATGAACATTGTGCTTTGTTAGGTAGCTGGTGATCATAATGGTCTGGGAATTTAAGCTTACTGTGATATTGCAGTTGGAGGGTTAATTTGCAAAAACAGATATCTCAGTGTTTTCTGTGCACTCCAGGGAATATCAATCAAACTGGTTTGAGATCAATCATGTTTTGTTATTGTTCTCTCATGGGAATGTGTTGTTTAATTAATTTTTGCAACTTTTTGTAAATGAACTCTTCCAGTAAAAGTCTTTGCAAAAAGCCTAATAGTAGATGGCTGATTTTATTATAAACCCACCCTAAGCAAAATCTCCATCAACAGCTTTGTTTCTTGCTGTTCTTTATAGTTCAACACCATCTGGCCCTAAAATGCTTCAGTCTCTTGGCTGCAGTGATGTGTGCTACATGCACAAGAGCACTGTTTTACTGCAGGAAGTGTCTGACATTGAGAATAAAAGTGAGAAATTAACTATTAAGCAAAATTGTTGCATTATGGGTATAAGTCTCTGGTGTATGTGTACTTACAATTAGTGACGTCGGGTGGAGGGAAGTTGTCATTGATAAAAAGGGAGGTGTGTTTGGCCACACGGAGGTAAACGACGTCAGGAGTCGACTTCAGGGCAGCCACTGCGTCCTCATGGGTTACCTCCTCCAAACAGGAGGCGTTCACCTGGAGACACATGGAGACATACTCTGTTACCATGCACAGACATGAATAAACACACAGACAGCATATATACAACATTATGTCCAATGTAATGCTATGGCAGACTGCAGCAAAATCATACAGTGTGGATAGAGTTTTGTGGTCTGTACATATAGCTGGATGTTAATTTAATGGAGAAGAAGCTTTAAACATATTCATTTTTATGCCGAATGGGTCTGCTGCTGCTAACGGGCTTGGATGTAGAGCAGAAGAGTAACAATCTGATACAATTATGCCCTTGTACACTATCCCTCTCAAATGCATCTAATTCAGTCTTAGAATATAACACACCCAGCAGGTAATACATGAGAATTTAATAAAGGTGGTAATGGAGAGCCTTGTTTTTGCTCTGTTCTCAATTTAAAATCCTAAATTTGGTAACATTACTGTGGAATAATTACATTTCTAGTTTTATTAAGAGCAAATCATTTCATCTTTGGTGTTACTAGGAATATTTATGACAATAATAGCAATTCATAGCAGGCAGTACTTGGTTATATTAATAATGTTAAGGGATATTCATTACCTATACAGGGCTAATAAACTTGAATCCATAGCAAACTTCTTTTGTGTTGCCTTTCATTTGAAACTTTTTATATTAGAAAACAAATTGTGTGGTTACGTGAACCAATAAAACTTTGCTTTGATGTGGATTTCAATCTGCGTACTAGACTAGAATATTTGCATGATAATAGGTGCAGAGAATAAAAAGACAGAAGAGGGAAGAAGAATTAAAAAACAATAAAAATGAATTTCTTACAGCCACAAGTTTGTCTCCTATCTGTAGCCGTCCGTCTTTGTGTGCAGCCCCTCCCTCGATGATCTTAGTCACGTAGATACTGTTGTCGCCCGGGACATGTTGGTTTCCAACTCCACCTGCTATACTGAACCCTAAACCTGAGAGAGAACATCAACAGCTCATATTTGTTTCCTGATCCTGTTCTTTATGTTATATATTTATTAGCTGCATTTTCTAATTTTTTCCTTTGAGCCCTTTTACCCGTTCTGATAGATTCAATACAGTCCAATTATAGGGAAGTAAACAAAAGCAAAATCAAATTAGGTAAACCACATCCTCTCATATATTTCACATGTCCATTTCTTTAATTGCTCTATTAATCTTTTCTTTCCCCTGCTCAATCATATTACTGAATCTTTAGTGCGGAAAAATGCTGACTTTTCAGCACCAATCAGAAAACTGTGTCTCATCATACTTTTCTCAATTTCAGGCACCAGTTAATGTCTTTATTTCCTTGTTTCCTTATCGTGCAGTCAGTAAGTAGCAGGACAGGAGAAGCACGTCAACACCCTCAAACAACAACGAAGCTGAAGTCATCATTTTAATCTCAAAGTCAGTGTTTCACTTCAAATTGAATTTCTTACAGACTCCACTGTTTACCATTGTAGTATTTTCTCACCTTTGGGCCCTTTGACCAGCTTGATATCCATGATTCTCTCAGTGAGGCTCCTCCTGCGTCGTATACATAGTCTGACCAGACCTCCTGCATCCTTCAGCGCCTCCACAGCCCCGCTGTGGGTCACCTCCCTGACATCTGCCTCATTTACCCGGACTATACAGTCATTCACCCTGCACAGCAAAGTCACATACAGTGGAGTTGTCATTTTACTTGCATAAAGAGTAGTGGAGACGAAGGATACACATCATCTCCTAAACTCTAGTCTTTCACTTTGAAGATACAGGTCTAGTTGGGAGAAAGCACAGTGGGAGCCAGCTGCTGTCAATATATTTTAGTTGTTTGGCTTCTTTCCTTTTTAATGTTGGATTAAGGTAAAATAAAGTTTTATCTTAAAGCATGTGTGCTAGACTGATTAATGTGAATTTCCTGGTTCAATCACATAGCCTGAGGAGCTCATAGCTACTGGTAAAACAACACACGCACAACTATATTCACTTTCCCTTCTAAATGTTTTGATGTGTTTCCTGTGAAAATGCTCTCCCTACAGTACTCTTTCAAAATATCAAATATCAAATGTAATTGTCAATTTGTATTTAGTCTGCTGCTGTAAGTTGTACTTGCATTGTGAGGACAACATCTCTTCACAGTCATAACTTGACTTCCAAAAAGAACAAGGTTAAACATTTTATATAAGATTTAAGTATTTAGGTTACAGTTAGAATTAGAATATTTTATTAATATTTCTGCTTATTTTACTTAGGTTAATTACTACTGTATATATATATGTGCCTAGATTTATTTATTTTATTTATTATTTAAGATTTGGGGTTAGAGTTATGTGTGTAAAAGTATAAATTCATCCTTATAATTAACAAAAACAAAAGTGTCATTGTGTATTTTTATCAACAAATGATTGTGCGCACAAGTGTGCTTGTGATTCCTACGCCTATATCTGTACGCACACGTGTTCTCTCGCATGCAAGTCTACTAAAAGAAAGTACATGCTTGTTGATCGATGACTCAGCCCCCACAGAGTGTGTGTGTGTGTGTGTGTGTGTGTGTGTGTGTACCTGAGTCGCCCATTCTGGGCTGCGGCCCCTCCAGGTATAATCTTGGTGATGAAGATAGAGGGGTCTTCTCCAATGTGAGGATTATCAGTCCCTCCTGCGATACTGAACCCCAGACCTGAGTTACCCTACACATACACAGACACGGAGTGTGTTTTAATGGAACAAATGAACATACACATTGGTTTTAAAAGATAATTTTAATTTTAAGCTTAAATGAGCTAAGATAAATAAAAGAGTTACTGTTGTTAGACTCAAAAATGTATCTGCCAAGAAATCATCTCTCCATCCAGACCAGAAACTTAAAAAATATATATATATTATACTGAGATTTCAAGATACTTTTCAGTAACAAATAAATATTATAATGGAAACGTCACACACACACACACACCTGGATAGTTTATATACCTAATGACAGCCATTGCTCTGTGTGTGTTTCTCTCAGTCTCTCATACTTTGTCGCCGGGTTTGAAACTAGTGTAATGCCTGTGCCTGTGTTTGCGTGTATGTCCATAGTGTCTTTAAAGCAGATCCCGTCAAGCAGACAGAACCAGGTCACGGGAGAATAGAGTGAGAGAGGGAGAGACGAAGAGAGAGAGCCTCGGGGTGAGAGAAAGGGGAATATAATGAGAGAGGGGGGAAGAGGATCAGGAAAAAGAAAGTAGGGATGGATGGACGAGGAACAGAGAGGACAGGGAAATAGGGTCAGCGTAGTCGGACCAGTGGTGGGACAGAGTGGAGGAAAAGCAGAATGATGAGATGAAGGAGAGAAAGAACTAATGAGAACTAAGATAGCTGATGCAGATTAGATGAAGGTTTATAGGTTTTCTGGTTTACAAATGTATCTTTAGGACTGATTTGGGTTATTTTCCCATACAGTTTTTGGAGAATTAGTTAACAAATTGCTTGTGTAGTAAGGCTTCAGTGAGAGGTAGAGGTAAATAAACTAGTGTCACCTCCAGTCTGAAACACACACTGTAACTTATGTTTTGTGTGTCCTTAAAACATCACATTATCATTGAATTTACTTCAGTCACAGGGCTGATGATTATGTATACTGTACATTTACCTCTATAATGTTTGGCAGCCTAACATGGCAGTGAGTAGTAAGTACGTTTTCTGGATTTTTCCTCGACTTCACCATTATTTAAGTATATTTACATAATGTATACTGTAATGTATTTGCACAATGTTGCATTTTCTATGTACTGCGATGGCTGATTCAAATACATTGGTTGACTGGATACATTTAGCATTGGTTATAGTTCCCAAAATGGTCTTGAGCTTTATTTTAGTTGGACTTGGATACGAATGGCCTGTTTCAAAAATCGATGTGCTAGAAATAGCTACAGTATCTTGTCAGTTATCTCGCAGAATAAATATTTTCACACCTTCTCAGTCTGTGTTTGCATCTTTTATGTCTCAGCACAGGTTCCAGTTCTCCCAGTTTAAAGTACACAGACGCTCAAAATCATTTCTGCTCTCAACCACACGAAGGATGTTTTTAGCGTGATTATGGAGGAGCGCTCGGGGAGGACAGGGGTCAGTCTTAACAGATGGAGGTACTGTCACCGAGGGGCTGATGTGACTGAGTACATCGACAGTGTGTATAATTAGGCATGCATGTTGGTGGTGTGTTTGCATTGTGAGTATGTTTTTACCCGCTCCAGCGTGATTTCCTCATACTCATAGTCTGCTTCTGTTCCATTGACCTGTCAGAGAGGAAGAGAAGATAAGTGCGTTAGTTAATTTAAGAGTAAACACTGAAAGCTGTTTTCCTGTAATGGGCACTAAAATGCTCATTTGATTTTACGGTAAAGCTTTTGACATTCATAATTCATAGTGTTTTTCTCTGTGTCATGTCAGTTGCTATTGGCAGGTGCACCGCCGTCTTGTGTTGCATTAAACCTACATGTTTATCACAGCTTATTCTGTGTCAGTATATGTGCCATAACCTCCAGTATCAGCAGTGGTAGAGGAAGGATTCGGATCCTTTACTGAAATAAAACTACAAATACCAGACTGTAAAAATACTTTGTTACAAGTAAAGGTCTAGCATTGAAAAAATTACTTAAGTAAAAGTATATAACTATAATCAGAAAAACTGACTTAAAGTATTAGTAAAAGTACTCAATGCAAAAAAATGGTGATGGAGCTCATTTTTTAACTATTTTGTAAAAGACTAAAGCTAATCTGCTGATTATTTTCTCCAATAAGCGATTGATTGTTTGGTTTGTAAAATAGTGATAGTATTGAAAATAGTGAGAAATGTTGTCACAATTACCAAGAGCCCAAAGTGAATTCACAATAAAATAATTCAAAGGAAAAGCAGGAAATCCTCATATTTGAGTAGCTGGAGCCGTGAAATGTGTGAAAAATGACAAAACAATTATCAAAATATGCGCCAATTAATTTTGTCAGTTGATAAATCAAGTAATCGTTTCAGCTCTACTTGTACATTTTCATATTTTTGTGCTAAAAATCTAAAGTGTAGAAGACAGTGGCATGAGATTTTAAGTACAAGAACCTCAAATTTGTACTCAAGTACTTGAGAAAGTGTTCTTATTCCACTACCACTACTGCTTATCAACATTCAGGAGGTGAGGAATTTTTCCTTTCTAACTCTACTACAAAGTGGGAGCTGATTATCTGATCGTTCATTCATTCATCAGGTTAAACAAACTGCAACAAATAGCTGAATTATTAAAAAAAAATGAAATTACACATTTGATCGTTTTTTTGAAAGACGCATGAATCAGAGAGCTTAAACTGGTAATGCGTACTTAATGACGATGTTTCTCTGATGTCATATTTAAGAACATCCCTGGTGAATTACCCATGAGCCAATCACACAGCTCAGCCAGGACTGCCTGCACTATAAAATATGTTAATGTCTGTATTTCCTGACTGAATGACTGGTGCACAGAATTAAATCTGATCCGAGTAGACTATTATATATTTTGTATTTCTCTCGGTTTATTCTGAGAGAGGAGTGTCTTGTTCCTGCTATAGCTGCTGCAGGCAGGCAGGCACGCACACACACACACACACACACACACACACACACACACACACACACAAACACACACACACACACACACAGTGGTCGAGTGGCATCCCAACGGCCCATGTAATCCCCTTGGCTGTAATCTGTGTCTCTCTGCGGTCAGATTAGTTTAGATTTTGAATTTCTGTCGTTTCGAACAGAGGGCACACTCTTCCATCAGCCAGCATGTGCAGTGTGTCTGCTATCACCTACCATACACTCCGCATATATTCAGACTGGATGAAAGGCCACATAAATTTACTATAAACAAGTGTAGACAATAAAGCTTCGATTAAGCTTGATGTTTCCAAGATGTTATAATGTATCCTGCTTAACAGAGCCCCTTTATTATTTAAATAAAGCATGACGAAATCAACTGATGTTTTCAGTAACACTTTTGAAGGATTATCAAAGTTTTAGCCTCTAAGTCCTGTAGGCACAGTAGGTAGAAACAGCCTTGTGCATCTGCGGTGTGTTTAAACATACCAGCTTCATCATATTTTCATAATTTATTATTACAAGCATGAATCAAATTTCTTTGACAGAAAATGACAGTCGACAACCCTATCAGTGAAATTTGCTTGATATAAATCTTTTTCTCTCTCTCTCTGTGTTATATTCCAGGCAGTTCAGCAGGGAGTAATTCCACAGTAATTACATAATAAACTTATCTAACAACAACAGACACTGATTCTCTGTGGCAGCTGGCTACCAGTAAAATGACATCTGGATCCATCTAATTCTGGACTGAGATTTCTGTCAAAATCCAGGACGCTGCTTGTGCATTTTTATGGGGGAGAAATATTGAAATTACGGAGCATTTTTAGTAGAAGCACCAAAAGATGATCTTTACACAGAAAATAATGCCTGATATTAAATTTTTTATGGTTGATGGTTAAATATTTACAAAGTTTCGCAATTATTGTACTAGAATTTCATATGGAAGATTAGAAATATAAACATACGTATAAAAAAACCTTTCCTTTCAACCTCAAAACAACATTTACATGTCTTGCATGAATAGAAACTTTACAGATTTGGATCAATTAAAATGTATTAACAGTGAGGATTAATAAACGCTTCTTTATCGAGGTGTTTCCTGGGTTTATAGGAGCCTTTGCTGATCATCATCAGAGCAATGTAGTAGAAGACTAGTGATTGGTCTGTATGGACTACTTTATTTTCCTCCTACATGCTTCCTGATTGTTGTGATTGTTTGCTGAAAAAGCTAATTCCACTTCTCCTCACTCTGTATGCCAAAGTGATAACTTAAGTGCTTAAAAGATCATTTAAACACTTCACATATATAATGAATGGAAAATGCTTGATAAAACTGCATTCATCCAATGTTAGACAGTAGACAGATGAAATAAATAAATTAATTACAAATAAATCAGAGGCATCCATATTGTAACAAAACAAAACCTCACCAGTAAAGCGTACAGTCAACCAAGGTGTGATCTCTATGTTTTATGTGAGATCCTATATAATATGAGGCCAGCTCCACCCACGTACGTGTCTTTCCTGAAGAAACTCGTCATAAAGGATATAAACCGTATGAAGTCCAGAACTGACCACAGAGATGTTACAGTATCAGCAGGGTGCAAAGTACACATTTGAACCAGTACTCACATATGGGGGGGTGTCGACACTCTCGGTGTTGACCACCACTGGAGGGGGGTTGGCCTGCAAGACAGAACAGCAACATTATCAAACACTTTTAATTTGAAGGATACTATGAAACCAGAGACATGCAGTAGTTCGGCTGGCTGATGGTGTTCACTATGAAACTTAAGACTTAACACACATAAACACACGTTTGCACAGATCTGTGGTGTTGACTTACTCGTCTCATGTTTTGGTACAGCATGTTGAGTACATCTGCTACAGATTACCACCGCGGAGCGACAGCATACACCGCATGACATACTGCACAGCCCTTATATTGGACAATACTAATGTACTACACTGCAAACCAAACTGTAACAGACTGTTTTATAAAGCTCTGTTACTGCACCACAAAATACTATATCACAATACCCTGTACTTTTACATTTTACATTGTACTCTAATAGCCTGTAGGATATTGCGCTCTACTCCTCTGTTCTCTCTATTCTTTGAATGCCAACCGCATTATGGCCTGGTTCAGTCCAGCACAGCATAGCTAGGGTTAGAGCAGCAGATGATTGACATTATATTTTCTGTTGCTTCCTACTCAAGCACAGCAAATGACAAACTTCACACTAGCTAATAAACAGCCACAAGGTGTCTTTTTCTCCTTGTATTTGCAAGGAGAGCATCAGCCCCCATTTTATCATTCCACCCTTTCGCCTCCTGTCTCCACTTTTCTGTTTTCCTGTCTCCTCTCACTTTCTCCCCCAGAAAGTATTTAGCGCTCGCCAGTCCAGTGTATCTATAGGTCTAGTATCCTCCGAAAAACCAGCAATGAGCAAGCCAGTCCGCGTAAGATAATGTGAAACTCCAGCTCCAAAAAAGTTCACAAATGAACCAGCTAACCAAGCATCAAACAAGCTAGCCAACCAAATGGACAGTCCACCCAGACTTCACTTCACGGCATCAGTGTGCAACAGAGCAGCAATAGCATCTATCCCTCTACACTAATCTCTACCTCTCTCATCCCCCCCTTTTTCTACTTTTCTCTCTCTCACACACACACACATATATCATCTCATCTCTCTCTCTCTCTCTCTCTCTCTCTCTCTCTCTCTCTCTCTCTCCACCACATGTCCAACTGTCTGTCAGTCAAGCTGACAGGATGCTTGATCCCACATGGGAACAGACACAGAGAGAGAGGGAGGGGGGGATCAGAGGGATTATAGGTATGATGGGAGGAGTTAAATCTGCGTCCTCAACAACAGCGATGAGGAGCAGAGGGTGCAGACAGATGTACAGACATTAGTAAAAAAATACAAAAATGAATGGTGCGGAGAAAAGAAGCAGAGGGAGGTAAAGAAAGAGATGGAGGGGGCGAGCTGGGTGATTATACAGTAAGGTTCATTGATGGTGAGAAGACACTGTCATGCTGACAGTTGCAGCTGTTAGGATCTGTGTGTGTCTGTGTATGACGTGAATTCAAAATCTTGCATAAATAAAAGAACCTATTATCAACTAAATGTAGAGCATAGAGGTAAATGTATTTAGCTAGATTCCCCCACTGATTACCGATTATACACAGGTCACATCAGGGCCAGTGAACATCACAAGGGCTCCATAGATAAATCTGAGGTCACAAGATTAAAATAAAAGATAAAAAGATAAATAAAAAAAAAAAGTTACACATAATATTTTTTTCATTTTTTTATCTAAATGTTTCTTTTACCACTTCTGGCCTCCTTCAAATGAAAATGAATCATGTGAAACAACCTGAGGGGTAACAATCACTGCTCACAGTAAGGCCATAACCTCCGATGTGGGGTTACAAGTAGACAGTCTTATTTGAAGAGGTCAAAGAAGGTTCTGATCTGAACTGTGTTTGTCTCTGCAAGTATTTTGATGAGCCACATCTAATCATATTGACAAAGATAACCAGTCAGTTCTCTGCTCTGCACTGACTGTACCAAACAGCATGCATTTATGATTCTGCCAAGCCTTTGAAAGTTGTAGAATGATAAAAGGTATGTTGGGTGTTTTCAGTGTATTGACTGACAAAAAAATGCTTCATCTGACAGCAGGGTAATCTCAGCTGATACTAATGTAACCTAATATACCTTTATGCTTACTTTACCCAAGCAACTACCTGCCTAAAGTTAACTTGTCTGTCTCTTGCTGACTCCTTCACCATTGTAACAACATCACTCTACAAAGCACACAACCTATCTGTGTGTGTGTGTGTGTGTGTGTGTGCGCGTGTGTGTGTGTGTAATTCACAGAGCGACAAATCCAGTGCGTTAGTCAGCTGGTGATTCCATTGACACGACATGTCAGACTGCCCGCTTATGTAACATCAATATGAGTGTGTCAGGGTGTGTGGATGGGGTTGTGTTACATGAAAAGGCCAAAAGAACAAACGTGCAAAGATAAACAAACAAGCACTCACACACAAATACACAAACACACGCAACATCCATATCCAGACAGTGTTTTTTTTTGTGTTGCACTATGGAAGTGATTGTTAGTTGTTACATAATTGCTGTTACACCAGCTGTGTTACCATGACAGTATGGCCTGGTTCAGTCCAGCACAGCACAGCTTAGAAGATCCAGACTATCAATAGTTTGTCTCATCGTCATAGTTCTTATGCTATGCAGGAAGATTGTTTGTGTGTTTGTGTGTTTGTGTGTGTGTAGGCTTGGGAAATGATTGTCCATCACTGCAGGGCACTGGGTTGAGCTTCTACACCATCATCATAATAATTCAATTATCAATTAGCAGATGAATCATGATTGTATAAACAGAAATCAAGGCTCCCAAAATGACGCACAGCGGTTTGTTAAATAATCAATCAGTGCAACGTGCCATATTATGCCATGCACACAAGAACATAGAAACACACAAAGTGAAACAAGAAAAGTCACGAACCGAATTGGGCAGAACGACAATTGTTGCACAGTAACAGCTGCAACGCATCAAAGCTTTGTTTCTCTAACGTCTGACCATACATGGTCAAAACTGTGCTACTTTAGATTTCATTTATAGTACAGAAAAGCCAGCATTGAGGTGAAAACACAAATACTCCTCTCCTAATATTACTATCCACTCTGTCTTCCGATCCGTGTGCAATGAAACTCCATTTGACTAATGAGCTAATCAGATGGAGCGTGACTCTAATCAAATCAGAATGGCCATGCTAATTCCGCTAATCAGGCTATCACTACCTGCTATCTCTGATCAATGTGCCCACAGCAGATGTACGGCACAATGGCTACCCAACCAACAGCTAATAAGAGGCAGCTGACTATAATACAGTTTATACATCACACAGGTCCAGTTACACATGGATTAGGGCTCTGTGATGTTATGACTGCACTATGATTCACCATTAGTGGGAATAATGACATTTGCACCACAATTTTCATTTTAACTTAAAAAGTTAAGATGATGTGACATTTGTTGAGGTCTGTACCAAACAAACATGTTTTCTTACATCTGGAGAACAAGATTTGTAGACCAGGTCATCCCTGCTACAGTAAATCAATATAAAGTCACACATTTTACCTTTATCAAATAAATGGCTGCTTTTGTGATTTGGATATTGCATTTGGCCACATTGTGATAATATTCCGATTAATTGTGCAGCCCTAACATGGATGGCTATGGTGTTTTGATTATATGAGTGGGAAGTTGAAATTGACCATTTCCACTTTTACACTGCTATTACTGTATCATCATTCTGTGATGTTCAACTAACCGCAGGCTTTATTTGTATGTATTGTATGTATTTTAGTTTCCTACGTTTCAGTCCACACACACAGTGAATATACTGTAATTCTGTAGACAGTGCAGGTTCAGCAGCTCTGAAACATGAAAAAAATAACAGCAACATTACAGTAGTGACCTTCCACTTTTAAAATTTTAAACCATTGTGGTCAGATATAAGTGTAACACTGGTTTAGCTTACAGCAGCCAGTTTATGGATACATGCAGTCTTCTCATCACATGGTGGTATTGTGCGTTTGATGTTACAAATTACATTTCTTCCCGTCTCTCTTTGTCCCATCATTCCTTTAGTGTCTAATATATCTTGACAAGTATTGATTCCAGGAGTACTTTGAACATTAATGGAATATCCAATCAATTTGACTACATAACTTGTGTTCTGTTTCACAATAAAGTGTTATTCTTTCAACTTTTGGGGAATTTAACTTTTTTACAGATGAGAAATAGTCCAAACAACATGCAAATTTACTGAAAGTCTAGTCCTCTGCTGCTCTGTGATTTTCCTTTTTGTATTTTATTGTTTAATAAGGTAAAATAAGATGAAGTTAGGCAAATAAAAACACTGTGAGAAGAATGTTGTATTTGATTGATTGTTTTAATGTGCACACGTGCAAATTGATTGACCCCCAACTGGCCACTATCCTAAACTGGTTGAATAGTTGGGCAGCACGGTGTCTGCACACTTTGGTGTATGTAACAATAAATCAAAAGCAAAGAAAACTGTGTGCATCTGCTTCTTCCAGTTTAATATCAAAATTATTTAACATTAGTTCTATAACAGTGAGGAATCTCCTTTAGGATCAGTGGACTATCACTATCTAGTGTAAGTATCAATCCATCTAAGATCCAACCATTAAACCTACCTGCACATGGGCCTGTATTTGTGGAAAGTGGTGCATGAGAGGCATGTGTGGGGGCGTTTCCATTGAGTGTGCGGTCCAGATATACGTGTCATTTGGCCACGCCCTGTTCCCAGCCTTTCCCTTGGCTTTGCTCTTTGTGGGACTCTTCTTCACACTGTCCCTCAGGTTGGGAAACTTTCCTCTAGAGCCCCTTGTGGCCAGGTTGGTTGGCAGGGTGCTCCACCCATATCCACCCAGCCCTGAACACAGGGGGAGCTGTGGCGAGTGAAAAGGGTGGATGGAAAGCGACTGGGAGGCGTGAGGAAGAGGAGGAGGGCAGTGGTGGTGCTGTTGGTACTGCTGGAACAACGAGTGGTGGCTGGGTGAATGGAGCTGCATCTGCTGCTGTTGGTGGTAGATTTGATGTGTTGATTGCGATGAAAGCAG